AAAGTTAACGATGAGCAGAAAGAACGTCGCGTGATTAGTGCATATTTGTTATAGAAAATTCGACGCCGCTGGCGAGAAAGAAAAACGTTTATGATATACCGACAGGTGACGAAACATGGTTACATAACTATGATCCTGAAAAAAAGCGACAGTCCATTGTATGATGCTTTGAAGATGAGCCGACGCCAACGAAATGTCGTCAAACACGAAGCACACAGAAACAAATGGTCTGGCCTGATTTTTCTGCATGGCGGGACACATTGCTACAGTAATGCTAGAGGATCAAAGGACAGTTAACTCCGAATAGTGGTATGGAATGGTGTTGTCAGCTTGGTATGACAAATGGCCGAAGTCAGGAATCCGGCACCTCCTCTGGCATCACGACAACTCTGCTAAGCACACTAATTCATCATCAATCAAATTCTAATGCTCGACTACTTTCATTAAAAAAATGTATCTATCCAGCCGCACCCGCCATATTCCCCTGACTTAGCATCTTGTGATTTTTTCCTCTTTCCAAAAATTTAAGAAAAATTAAAAGGCAAGCGGTTTGAAAGCAAAGAAGATGCCTTGGCTGCTTATAACTTGGAGATTTCCAAAAAGTCTAAAGAAGAGTGGTCATCAATATTTTCCAAGTGGTTTAGACGAATGGAAAAGTGTATACATGTTCATGGTGAATATTTTGAAAAAATCGATACCTGTAATAAAGAACAAATTTTATAATTTTTGAAAATCTAATTTCTTGTTGCATGACCCACGTATTATATAATACTTATTTGTACATTACTTTAGTAAATGAATCATTTGTTTCTTTAGAAGTATCATAAATACATATACATAACATGTACATGTTATAATTTAATATTGGGAGTATTCGAACAAAAACTCGATAAGTCACATTTTCACTTGTTCTTCTTTTTTAATGCCAAACTGTATTTATTATTGTACATTTTTAGGAATAATTTATCCAGTCTGAACACAAACCTAAATAAACGCTAAATCTTCCTTCAAAATACATTTCCAATGCACTGATTTGAACGCAGTCATTGACCTACCAATAAATCGGGACGTCGGGTTCGCGCTAAAGTGTCCGCACCTATAGGGCGTTAAAATCGCACACAGAGCGTCAATCGCGCAACAGTCTTCGTTTGTTCGACTGACAGCGCGGTTGTCAATCAAGCAGTACTATATAATAATAACGTAAAAATTACTACAGTAAAGTGTAAAAACAGGATTTTGTATCATATTGTCACCAAACAAATATATTGTGTTGTCATAGTTCTCATTTAAAAGTGTTATTTTATACAGTTTTATAGTATTTAATTTAAGTTATATATAAATGAATTGTGAGTATAAATTACAAAGGCACACAAAATAATCAAATAGCTAACTGTCCTTTTTCTACACATTGCATGCGCAAAAGATGGAAAGAGACCCATCACGTCAACTTCAAGAAGCTTATATAAACTTCTTGGTCATTTTCAATTGTTCGAACCACAAGCGATTGAAATATTTAGAACAAAGAAACTATAGAGTCACTTTGATTTTAATCTTATTTTTAAAATGATTTTTAAAATTAAATGTTAGCAATAACTAATAAAATATTGTTGTACTCGTTTTACGCCTTGGGATTACCTATCAGAAGTCAGAAACTACATTTGCCCAAAATAACGTTAGCTGGAATTTTCATAATGTCAAATGTATTTAATTTTTTTAGAAAGATTACAAAACAAAAGCTAATTTTGCCTTAGTGAAAAGCATCAAAATTACTTGAAAGCGTAATGGTTTTATTATAAATCGGTTGTCAGAATTACGGATATTTGAGTTTACGTTTAGTTGGAATATTGGTACATTTCTCTACCCTTATTTTCACATTTGTAATAATATTTGTATGTATGCCCAACTCTATTATTTCTTTAAGTGAATTTGTACAAAATTCGACATAATAATATATATAAAAATTAATTAATATTTAGGATAAAGGCTACTCCATTACTCTTGTGTTCAAGTAATTTTCTGTCGAAGCTAAATAAGGTGCATTTTGTTAAGTTTCCAGTAGAAGCTGAATATGGTGTTTTTGGGCCCTTAAATTGTTGCAACCAAAATTAGGCAGTACTGCAATGATGTTATAATTTAAATTAAATGTTTTAGTTTTTTATACTTCGTTACATGTCACTACGTTTTTATAGGTTAACTTCAGAAATTTTTTTCGTGGTTTTTGTATTAGACCTGACGTCCATTTGTTGGTAGGTCAATGAACACAGTGCAACAAATTCATGAATAAGACTAAGTCAGAATAGGATCGAATTTTATCCAATTTATTGGTTTTTGTTCCGAAGTTCCTCATATTCATCTCTCACTGGGGTAAGCACAAAGACTGCAACCTTCCACTAGCTACATTCCTCACAAATTTCATTCTCGTACTGCATTCGCATTAGCCTTTTCACTTGGTTCTTTTACCTCCACTTTCGTCGAGATCTACAAGTGTCTACGTTGTATAAGCAGGACATTGAACTAAACTTCATTCAGTATAAAACTAAATTAACGATTTTGATTCATTTTAAGGCAACTTTTGTAAGTGAGCAATTGTGTAAACCATACCCTCTTGCTGCTAAAGATTCCGCAGCAGCCTGGAATTTTTTGTCTACTTTTGGATACTTTTTCTGTGCGTGCCGCACGGATACTATCTGTGAATGTGTAGGAAACAGTTATTGCATATTTATAAACTGAAAAATTCAAGACGTAACACAACAATACAAGAACAATACTATATGAAAGGAGCAAATGTTCAAACTCACCTGCAAGTTTATGCGTGTACGAGGTAATAAATTTCTGAACATTTCTCCTAAACTGTAACAACTGGAACTATATAAGTAATTACGGAAGGGTAATTTCTAAATAATTTCCTTTTTTGTCGGAAATCTTGATAGAAAGATAACCTCAAAGCTAGATATGTTAGGTCCGTTTTACGCAGTGATTCACGTTCTTTACTGACAGTTAATAAATAAACAACACTGTAATAAAGTAATGTTACAATCGATTCCCAAATTTTTATTAAATTTTGCATTAAATTCTGCTTAATTTATATCATAACAAAATATTTGGTTAAAATATATTGTGATTCATAACTGTGTTTTTTTATTTGCGTAAAAAGGAACATTTTAACGTTCAAGTCGAAATTAGTTCTGAGTTATGCCAAGGGGGGCAGCACCAGCGGCTTGGGTTGTTGTTTCCTATCCGCCATTTTCCAGTCGCCATTGAAAGGTGAAAACTTGGCTAAATGTCGGTGATGATTTTAAGGTTTTGAGTGGTTTCTTTAAGATTTGAACAGTTTTTAGTGTTGTGAAATGAAAATGAAGTGCCCCGGACTACCATGACGCATCAAAATCACCAAACAAACGGTGCAAGTCTTGAGGATTGCCACACAAACTTTTTCGCCTTGGTAAGTCACTTTTACATTGATGAAAGAACTCGTATGTACTTTTCTTTCGAAATCATTGTGTTCTAGGTGATACGCTAAAACTTGTGGTATTGTTCCGAGGAGTCTCAAACAATATTTGATAATTTTAAAAAATGAGTCCACGACGTCCTAGTAGATGATCTGATTATCGTCGGTGGAAGCTGGTACACAAAAATCACCTTATTGCGATACGGCAATTACATCGATCTATTGCGTTAAAGATTCTGTATGGGACGATTTACGTTTGGACAGATAATGACGCTCAGCCGTTAGTCATCCCTGGCATCGTTCTCGCCACTGTTCAGAGTCATGTTGTGTTGCTAACTCACAAAATGTCAACGCATTCGGTGAGCGAGGCCACAAGAAGCCACCGGCCCATAGAGGTCATATTGAATTCACCTGGCCGTAACGCGGACCGTAATGCGTTCGCGAGACTAGTTTCGCCAGGTCGAGGAAATAACTTTCTTATTACATTTTTAGCTCCGCCGATACACACGGCCGGCCGATGGGGAAGGTTGTGAGATTTGTTTATGTATGAAACGGTCAGGTCATTCATTATCGTAGTGAGTCGCTTTGCGTAATGTTCGTAGCTGGCGCGAATTTTATCAGATCGTGTGGTGGTGAGGATTAGCGAGGGGAGGGGCGGGGGCGGCTGTCCTCGACGCGCTGGGCGCTCGCGAGCAGCACGGCACACGGCGCCACTTCCACCTGCCTTGTTGCCACATCTCCGCCACTCGCGGCGCGGCGGCGCGCGCCGCACGCCTGCACCCGCCGCCCTGCCGCCCGGCCGCCCGTCTCCCTCTGTGCTCCGCCTATCTCGCCACGATACAAATTACCGATTTCTTGGCCTGCCTGCTTATTGTCTAATTATTTATGCGTCGTTTACGGACACCGCGGCTTTTGTCGCATGGAATTTCTCATTGTCCATCCGCTCGTTGCGCACCGAAGGTTTCTCAGTCTATCCGTCCACGAGTTCCATAATCGTTCGTTGATTGATAAATACCTTACATCATTACAGAGTTCTATCTCGTTGCTATCGCTAAAAGTTCTTTACCTGGGACCATCAAATCAAACACGATGCGGTAGCATGTACTTACTGACTGACTTATGCCAGGTACACGACATCACAGATGTCTCGGGGTCGGTGCGCGCACGCCACTCGGCCGGCTGCGCAGGCGTCTTGCGCTCATTCAACCGTTTATGAATGGTCGTAATGATCGTAACTTTCCCATAAGCGGGCCTCCGCCCAAGCCCTACTGCGTTGCGTGTGGGTTCTGCATGAAATGACGAAGTCATGCTCTTTTGCGTTTGTTCTGAAGTGAAACTTGCCCATTTCCATTTACGTTTGGTTACAAACAAATCTTTGCATGTGTGTTATTTATAAATCCTATATCCTCTTACTTTTCTTGGTTTACCAGTCATTCTATTTTACTTCCTATGTTGACGTACAAAAATTCTCCAAGACTGACATTTGCTTCTATTTTCAAAACGTTAGAAAGCTGAATCAGTATGTGCCTTGCTAATGATTTTCTGATGTGTTGTTTTTTCGTCACGTTATTCACAGGAAACAATTTTACTCACGATGCTAATTGTAATGAGCTAACACTTGCTTTGTTTATCCTGGTGCGAAACTAAATGCTATTTACTGATTTACGAATCTCACTCATAACATATTCATATGGTATCTGACGACCGCCGTCCCCTATCTCCGTTCTATGCATACAGAACACGATTCCAATTTCGTTCTCAATGTTCTTTGTTACCCCTGTTTTATTAAAGTCTAGTACAATCTATGGTTTCTCCTTAATTCGTGGTGAGCAAAAACTTGTTGACTGCTCAGTTGGATTGTTTTGTGCCAAAGAGTTTTTAGAGTCGTCCCTTTCAAGGTCTAGTTGATGTACTATTTCCTTGTTTGTATTTTTGATGGCGTGTTGGAGAGGTTCACGCACACAATCATTAAATCCCAATTGACTGTCTCACGAGCATTTGCGAAGTCATCAGTTTAAAATTAGCACTCGTACAAACATTTTATAAACCATGAAATACTTATATTTAAACTTAAGCAGTTAACTTAATGATGTTAGATGTTAAAACATGTGGTATGCGAGTAAATAAAAAGGCAATTATATTCGACAACTCTGCTTTACGTGTTTGTGCCAAGGCCGTGGAAAACAGCTACCTGGCTTCACAGAAATCTGCTTTTATTTATGCAAAATATCTGTCTTATAGGATTATGGACTAACTAATACTAAGTGTGTGTGTGTGTGTGTACAAGTCTTGTAAGATATTTATTGTAAGAGGCGAAATTAGCAGTGTATTGATGCTAAACGCAAAGTCTACAATGTTAAAAATATTTACATATGAGAACAGTGAACGCATTCCGTGCGAACGTAGTTTGAACTTATTTTGAATGGTAACAAATGTAACTCAGTGAAATTTTGAAGACACGATATAAAAACGAATGTTTAGGATCATTACAACTTCATATGGGTTCAAAAGGTTGATTCTCGACTGTAACACCACGACCGACAAAGAAATTTTCTAAACAAAACACATTCTATAGATTCTCAAAAACCACGAACTTAGGTTAAATAATAAATTCATTATATTAAAAACTTTCATCCACATATCTAGCACATTTCTTGAATGAACATCAAACTACGAAATGAAAAATATTCGCTGAGATGTGTTTTCAAACAAGTGCTATCTCGCCCACGCACACGTGCTCGCTCAGGGCCGATAGAGACAACAATAATATTATCAAATGACAGACGCGGTTGCGCGGCGTGGTAGAACATCGATTAATGCAACAGGTGACATATGAAGAAGGGTAACTTCTAATCATCGACGCATTCGAATTAAATTAATGCCGAATTATGATTAATAATGGTATGCCGAAAATTTGTTATACCGCGGGGGTCTGGTCGCAGCTGATACCTTATCTGGTTGTCACTGCCCTCAAGGCCCGCGCGGGAACGGTGGCAGTTGCTTATCGTTATCAGTCACTAGCTTCACAGTATATTCGCGCAATTGTCACTTAGCCGCCATTCGATTTCAATAGATTGGCTGTTAATACTCCATTCAATGATGTCAATGATAGGTACTATACAATCGAATTTAATTTTGCTATTATGAGTGTGGCACATTTTTTTCGATTTTTGGAGAAAATTCTAGAAGTTTGCACACATACTGTAGATAATATCTTTCTGAAAGCCTGGAATTAGTGTTTGTATTTTGCTCTGTTTTTGATAACGCACACACTCAACATGGACCCGAACTAGGGATACCCTGTGTCGCGGGTGCCATGGACACACACATAGACAACCACAAATTACACCCAAACTCACGAGAGAAATAACTGTGTGCCACACAAACATTTCTCCCGGCCCGGGAATCGAACCTGGGACCTCTGCGTTGCAGTCCGGCAAGTTAACCGCTCGGTCACGGAGGCAGTGAATATATTAATATGTTAATATATTATAATAAAGTAAATTGATGTGTTACTATGAGCAGACATATAACTATTTTTTGTCTTTTATATTTAATCATTCCGAGATTTAGAAGGGAGATCTTATCCACTCTGTTTGTTGCTAGATGTTTCGGTAAATATGTAGCTCTTCCGATTTATATCCATAAGTAACTTCATTTCTAAGGATGCTTGGTGAACCTTAAAAGTTTCCAGAACAATCACGAAATCAAGTTTTGATTCGACGACAAATTTTTAACCACAACTGGAGCAAATGCAAATTAACTTAGAAATTAAAAGCCTAAACACAACGCGACAAGTGTGTTAATATAACTCTATTATGTTTGTAATGGGCCAGTTTGCAGTTAAACGTGTTTTATGGCACCGAATGGCCGAACATCATTACGTCATTTATTATCATTGACAATAAGCATTCGCCGCGGTGGCCTTATCAGCGCGTCTTTGCTTATTGATGTTCGACATGTTATTTTCCCTACGAATTACGAAAATAATGATCTTGAAAACAATCACATTGTTTTGATCGAATGTCAGATGTATACATTTTTGAATCCCAAAGCCGAAAAGACCTTTTTAAAGTCGTTAATTTTAACGCCGTTTATTCCCTTTAATTATTTGTTTATTACTTAATTAATTTAATCATGAAGTGATTATAAAATCAAATTGCACGTAAAAGATAAACGGCACCAAAAAGCCGGCCCCCGAGTGCAATACGTTTGTCCTTTACTTCGTGTTTTATTCTGAGGCGCTCATTCCGGGTCAAGGTTTTGTTTTGATAAGTGTCTGGATGGAATTGTTTTTGTTGTATATATAAGTTCATAAATCACAACACACCTTGGACAAAAAGTTTGGATGTTAATTATTCAATGATAATCAATAACGGACAGATCGGAATAGTTAACGTAAATTTCAAGTTACATATAATATTGATAATACCTTCCTATGAAATCCCAGAGTGGTTAAAAATTAAAGGCAAAAAAAATCGAAGCAAAATAATTATAATTAATTTTCTTCTAAATACACTACCGTAATAAAGTTATGATTGTTTAACTATACAGAAATATAGAACGAAATACAATGCAACTCATGTGGTATTTCAGAAGGAGGTATTACTTACTTCCTTGAAGTTAACGTAAATATACTCCTATTTCGATCTCTCATAAGCACTTCAAAGATCAAGTCTTATTTCAAAGATTGTCCTAATTTTGTAGTTATTTGTATGTATTAATGTTCCAATTTGGTTTCCCATCCAATTACAATTAGGATATGATATATTGACTTAACCACATTGCATAGTCTGACCGCCGCCGCGGTCGCAAGAATGAGGGTCAAGATAACAGAAGAATTCTCGCTATAGTCGCCATGCGTCCTACATTCGACACTTGCTCTCACAGCTCTGCTAAAAATTAAGCATGGTATTAAAATCGATCGACGTAAACGAGTCAGCCTTGTGCTCCACTTTCGCTTTTATCGACCAAGTTTTTTTCCCAACAATTGA